TGTATCTTAACACCTCTTCCAGGAGAATCTTCTCCATGACCTTTTCAGGTACAGAGTGGCTTGGCAGCCGCATCTGAAGCCAGCTCCTTCAGGACCCTGGGATGCGTGTCACCTAGCCTCAGAGACCTGTACATATATTTATCTACTTTTACATTCATCTGTCTTATTATCAACAAATAACTGAATGTTGTGAGATACACTCTATTTTTTAACAGCCATCTTTTGCTTTTATGATTCAGGTAACTCAGCCTGATCTGTGCTAAGTTTGAGTTCTCTGGTCAGTAATTTTTATTCCTAATATCTGCATGCTGCCTCCTATGTTGGAGACAGTACATAACAGTGTGGCCTGTGCTCCACTGCGATCTGTACTTTAGCACTGTGGGAACCTAAAAAAGCCAGAGTCTTGAAATGACAACAGCATCAGTATTCAGTGTAAAAAGAGCAATCAAACACATACGCAGTATGAAGTTTGAAAGTGAAGCAAATTTCAAATTAAATAGTTAATACGATTCAGAAGTAATCTCAATTTCAATGACCTAGTATGCTTACATAAAAAATAGCAGGTATATATACACATTTAATCTGTTGGTTAAAAAAAAAAAAAAAGTTTTTTATTGCTGAAAAGAAGAATTCTATTTATCTTGCCGTAAATTTAGGCATTAATTCAACAGAGATTTACAGGACTGAGTGAAACTGTTTTATGCAAGAACTGTTCCACAGGTTTTCAATTGGATATAGTACTTAGGATGATGCAGTACAGCAGTAGAAATGTTCTTATTAGACTTAGATAAAGATGCAGTTCTAATTATGAGATCTGTTCTACAAGAGACACAACAGTATTATTCCTCATGTCTAAAGCTATAACATCCAAGTAATCAAGAGCAGTAAAAAAGGAAAGCAGTGGCTTGAGAAATGTTCTGTTCAAGCCACAGCATCAGGTCAGCAGAAGACCCTAAACTAAGATTTAGGAGGTACTGTTAAAAGGTTCCTGATACTCTAAGAGACCATTTCTGTTAGAGTATGCAATTTAGACAGCAGTGAGACAAAAGAAGAGAATGCTCTGTCAAGAAGAGAGATTGTTTATTTCCTATCTGTATCGTGACCAAAAGGACTCAGGTATTAATAGTCCTGCTTTTGGTAGACTACTCAGTCAGCTGATAATGTTGCTCACATCATGCGAAAATTTATTTAGTGACTCTTCACCTTTAATTCTAGGAGAGATAAAGGATCTTTTGATTAGTGACAGCCTTTATCTGTCAGAAGTTTTTGACTTTATGAAGCCAAAAGAAAACGTTTGCATGTAAGTCAGTATCATATATGGTGATTTTAAAAGTCATTTTTCATTTCTCAGCAAAGAAGTATCAGATTCTTCTCTTTTCATGCAGTATTTGCTTAACTAGTCTAATACTGCCAATTAAATTGAAAAAATCATTCCTCTACTCTTAAACAAACTGTAGATTTTTCCTCTGTCTTTGTCAGTTACAAATACAGTGAATTCTTTTTGTATATTTAAGCAGCATTTTCCAGCTGTTATTTATTTGAAATGAAGCTGTGGGCAAATATCCTATTCAGGACTGGATCCTGCTGTGTAGGTCACTATGCACACATGCAGTCCCAACTGTCAGTGCACTGCATACAGCAGAATACGGAAGAACTTCAGAGGCTGAGGTAGGCTGATTGCCTCAGCAGTCCCTGATCCCTTGCTGAGGCTTAACAGCAACATTTCTATGGATTTTTCATATATATGCTGTTCATTTCCCATAGCCTATCTCATTTAGTAGCATAATGTAAGAATGTGGGAGCATTGTATAAGGCCCTGATTCTATGGAAATTCAACTTTTATTTCAGGGTCAATACTATAAATCTTTGCCAGTTGCTATATTCAATCACAGCTCAGTGGAGAGATAAAGCAGTATTTATATCCTAGAAAGGAAATACTGAAAAAAATAAACTAATGTTCCATAGACAAATATTTGAGGTGAAAGTTAAAATAAAACAATGTTTACTTACAACTAAGTAAACAAAAAGATCCACTTCCTCCTAAAAAAAAAAAAAACAACCAACAAACAAAACAACACACCAAAACAATGAAACAAAATCACAAAGAAAGAAAAAACAGACAAAATTATGCAGTACTTTAACACAAACATATTTGTCCTATACTTTTAAAACTAGAATGGAAGAAGTAACTGGAAGCATTGCAGGGTCTGCATTTTCCAATTCCTTTACAAAGGAAAAATGAATAGGAATAACATCCTTGTTTTTGTTCTGTTGGCAAGGGGCTGAAATGCACACATGGTCACAATCCAGTATCATTTGCTATCAGAACACTTTGTGTTACTGGGTCTGTGATAACTGTAAGAGAATCTGTCCAGATGTGTCATGTGCTCACTGCAGAAAGCTGACATAACCACAGATGTCATGAGCTTAACTGAATGCATATACAAAATACATTTTATGCATGGTACAAAAGAGTACTCTTGAGGGAAATTTCAAGAAAGTCTATGATCCAGGGGCAAGGAAGACAGAGGCTGTGTGAAATTCTAAGATCTGTAAGGCATTACTTCCATCAGAGATGCATGCATGCAGGCCTCCTACCTTGGGATGTCTTTCATGGTGATGGAGATAAGACCTGGTTCCTACCAGACTGCTCTAGGTTTGTGATGGTGGAAGGAATTTTCTGCTATCATACAAAGAAATTACACTACATGCATAGAAAACAGATCAAGGAAACACTGCGTAGCTTTGTTTAAATGATGCCTCACATTCCCAATGAAACCTTCCAGAGATTACATGGTCATTCCTATGCTGGTGCTTCAGGAGGGGCTTACCACAGCCTGAGACAAGTGAATCAGACACAGGTCCGACTGAAACCCACCAGGCTCTAGCATGCATTGTTTGTGCATCAAGGCTGATCCTTCAGTCACAGCCACTCACCACACCATCCTACCCCGAAGCCACTCAAACAATAAAGCTGATACTGAAAAGTAGCCAGGCAGGCAGACAAGTGGAAGAGCCATTCTCTTCAGCACAGCATTACTTCAGTTTAACCTGGAATCTAAAAACAGCCTTGAGTCTCTCAGTCTGTCCCTTGTAATCTTACTACAATGACTTATCTTCCTTAAAATTTTAGTTCTGCCTATTCAAAGACTAAATATGGATGTGGTTTTGTTGTTGTTGTTGCTGTTTTGGTTTGTTTCTGTTTTTCTTTTTCAGAATAATTTGCTATTTTTTCATCAAGAAATCACTAGGAGCATGTCATCTCTCCCGAATCAATTCATTTCAGTAAAATATAGCTGGGATCCTTTCAAGTACACTTTGTGTACAAAAATGCTCCTATTTTAATTGGATAGTCAACAATAAATGGATGGTAACAACATTTTACCATTGCTCTTGTTTGGACAGCACCCATAGCCTTTTATTTTGTTGTCTTTGGAAAATTTTGTAATCTTTGTTTTCCATGCCTGTTGTACACAGCCAGTTTGGTTTACTAAGAAGGAGGTGCTCTTTTCTAACACAATGCAATTTTCTAATATTAGAATTACTGAAAGGGACAGAAAAGTAATAGGTATTTCTTTTCTATTCTGTTTGCATTTCACACTTGACAGCGCTCTGTGCGTAGTTCATCCTGGCTTTCCCCTGGGTAACTAATCAATAAGTCAGTTTCCTTTGCTGTTCGAGACTTTCACACAACAACAGAGGAAAATAAAAGCATTTTAGAGCATAGGAAAACATGTATATATACTCACAAATATGGGCAGGACTTAGATGAGCTGCCAGAAATCACTCAAAGCTCTGCAGAATCGACGCACCAGGCATGTGCAGAGTACAGGGCAGGGGGATAGGGACTGCTAGCATGTGCCCATAAACCCCCCTTCCTGCTGGAGGGAACATTTGTAGTGCGATGCATTCTGGAGAGGTGAACCCAAGTTGTGTGTTTGTTAATAGAACTGGTGGAATAGTTCCTCATTTTGAAAGGTATTTTGAATATGGAGCCCTACCCTCTCTTTTCACCTTCTTTCTTTGCTTTGGTAGTATCACTGCATTTGTCTTCACATGTGAACTGCTAGAAGAATTGCCTGTAATTTACAAACCTGAAAAGGAGGAGCTCTTCATATTCTTTATCCATCAGCGGCTATTAGCATCCACTACAACAAACTAATGGAATAATTCATAGTCCTTGATGCCACAGCATTAAAAAAAAAATAAAAATGGTGATAATAGTAAGAAGCACAGCAACCTCCTACTGTTCAATGAAGAGAAGAAAAAAAAAAACTTCACAGGCTTATTTAGTTTATCCATTTCTCCCCAGACAAAGCAATCACTTTTAAACTTTCTTTTATTTTTTTGTCTTTTTTTGTCTTTTAAAAATTTTTTTTTGTCTTTTTGTCTTTGCTAAAAACCACTAGCAATAAGGATTCGGCCAGCACCCAAGGCAGTCTGTTCTTTCCTTGCTCTCACAGTCAGGTACTTTCCCACTCAGGAAGGTGAGTCTCGCCCAGGAGACCTCCATCACCTGCTCTACTTTTTATCACCAGATCCAACTGGCAGCCTTTTCATGTGGAGCACACACAGCTTCACACTGTTGCTGAGAAGTGCTCATGGCACTCTCCAGTAGGACAACGGGGATCCGGGATGCGGTGGTCTTCAGGCGGCCATAAGGCTTGTTGCAACCCTAAGGAACTAGCCGTTCCACACATTCACCCTGCTGTTGCCTCTCCTGAAAGCCTGCCTTTGAAACCGAGCTCGTTCGTGGGCGTACTACCTCTATTTTCCCCTTTTACTGCAAAAAGGGCTCGTTCCCGCCTCCCTGGCGGGGGGGTTCCGTGCCTTCGTTCGCACCCGGCCCTGCAGCGGGGGTCGCCCTTGCCGCTCTCCCACGTCCTCCATCCCGGGTGGCAGCGGCCGCCCCCGCGCCGCTCCCCCTCTCCCCGGCACTGCCGCAGCGGCTGCACCGCAAGGCGAAGCCCACGCCGCGGCTCCGGCCCGCCCCTCCCGGCCCGTCACGCCTGGCGGCTCCAGCGGGAGGCTCTGCGCTCGCTCCCTCCCGCAGCCGGCTTCAGGAGGAGGCGGCAGGGAAGGAGGGAGCGGCAGCGGCTCGCAGCCCGCCCGGGCCCTCCGGTAAGTGATGCTGCGGGCAGCGCCCGCTGTTGCTGCCGGGCAACTTTTCCTCTTTTTTTCTTTTTTTTTTTTTTTTCCCCCTTCCTTTCTCACTCCCCTCCTCCCTCCCCCCCCCTGCTCCGTTCGCGTGCTTGCGGCGGGAGAACACCTCAACTTTTGCACAGGACTTAGGAGGGGGTTTGTTTGGCGGGGAGGAGGGAGCTCAGCTTCGGGCAGGTCGAGCCTTAAAGGGAGTGCAGAGATTCTGAGTCTCCGCTCGGCTGCTGCTCACTTCAGTTGCATCCGACGCCCGCTCGGCTGTTCGCGCTCAGACCTGCTGGCACAGATGCCAGGCGGTGAGGGTATCTCATCTCGGCTTGGAAGCTGACCGGCATACTAAGGCTGGCACAACTTTTGCACGCTAGAGGATCAGAAACCAGGGGGAGCAGGTTCGCAGAGACTTCAGATGCTTGAGGAAAACAAGCTTGCCAGTGTCATAGAGGTAAGGATGGAGAGGAAAATCGGGTAGGCAGAAGAGACGTAGGGATTCCAGCTCCTCAGGGAACTGACACTTTCTAAAATGTGTGTGGAAGCAAGCAGGCAGGGTTTCAGGCTGTGGAACAGAGAAGACAAAAGGAAGAAAGGAAGGAAGGAAGGAAGAAAGAAAATAATCAGTGTAAAAGCTTTGGAAAACTATATTCCTTTTCTCACTATGGACTGCTTGCAAGGATTGTGATTCACACTATGTTGGGAGAACAGTTTAGCATTCACCACTTGTAAGGGGGATCGGGGAACTCCCTTCCTTACAACTGCAGGATAGGAGTTTTCCAAATCACAGTTACTGTTTTCCTAGCACTTCGGGAATTCAGACAGTGAGAGGTGTCCAGGCAGTACATACAAAGGGAAGCGTGGAGTTAGTTTCCTGGGCAAAAACCTTACTGAAGTCCAGGTGCGGAGTGGTAGGATGACCCATGGGATGCTGAGTTCTTTAGGGACTGCAGGGCAGAAGAGCCAAAGGGATGCAAGCAGATGGAACAGCAGGTCTGGAAGTCCTGAGCAGTGGCAGGACTCCAGGGATCTTAGGGCTGGGTGACACGGGGATAAATGAGCATGGTGGTCACTGATGAGTCCTGGTTACCTAAACATGGAAGGACCATGGGTGCATTGAGATGGGGGGGTGAGGGTGGGAGCTGAGTCATGCCTGCTGGGGTGGCCATTGCACATCTGTGCAGCATGGGGGGGTGAGGAGAGAAGGAAAAGATGAGAAGATTGTCTCATCAAAAGATGCTGAGATCATCCAGAAGCTCGTCAGTGATTCATGATATCCTGCTCTCTTTCCCGGAAGTAGCTGGGAGGCTGATGAGTGTACCTCTGATGGGCTGGGAGGGATTGCAGAGGTTAGTACAACACAACGGAAACCTACCCAGACAAACAGTCAGTACTGCTGGTACTTGGTCTGCATTGCACTGCAGTGCAGGGAGCTCACAGCAACTTCTACCTTAGGAGAGAGGGAGATGCTGATCTGATCTGTTGAGGTGGCACAAACTATGTCAAAGATTACTGCATTGTGAGTTGAACTGTAAGGAGATTTTGGAAGGAACTTCTTGATGAATTTACAATTAACTTACACAAAAGAAAATGTAAACAGAAATAGAGAAATATAAAGAAATGTAAATAAATAAACAAACCACAAAATAAAGTTCTTCAGCTAGACTCTTTGGGAATGGTATACTTCTGTTGGAAGTGTTTTTCCTGAATTCCCTATATGAAAGAGCCTCCTGTTCTACTATGCCATATGTCTTCCTGAATTATTGAAATTTTAGAGTGGATTTTATTTTCATGGATGGATGTCCTTGAAGGAATGCAAATTATTATTGTGCTGTTTTTTATAACGTTCGTATTCTTCCTGGTCATTAAAGATGTATTCAGCATTTTTGTAGAGAAGGAAGCACCACGGTAAATTGGAGACACTGGTCCTCCCCCCTCAGCTAGCCATCTTCTGCAATTTCACTGAATGATACCTTGCATTAAATCTTATCATTTCAGGGATTATTTTGCATCTTTCTTTCTTTTCTTTCTCTCTTAAATACCTGTATCTGTAATGCAAGCATCTCTTTTTTCTGTATTCCACAGAAACATAGGATTTTCTAAAATACAGTCATAATACATTCCAAGGAGGCTTACGTACATACATTTGGAGGAAAGCTTCCCATCAGCTGAGTATTGATTAAAAAAAAAAAAAAAGGGAAAAAAAGTGTATCAATTAACATTATTGACACACATGGTGCCTCCAAGCATCTTTAAATGATACCTTAAGGAGGAAAAAAGGAACAAGCAGTAGTCCCATGCCTGTATTTCTGTGACTGTATTCCTATTGCTAACTCAACACAGATGACCCTGCGTATCAGTGACACAGACTCAACATAAGCTTTCTCTGATGGCAACTTCGTGTAAAATCGTGTCACTGCATTCTAGAAGAGCAGATCTGTGTTTGGCCAAGGCAAGTGCGTTCTGATTATGTATTTCAAAAATGTAGTTAATTTGTCACTAACAGCAAAACAAGAGTTGTGTCTTCTTTTTCTTACTTGTTAGCGGCGTTACAAGAAAGATGTTTGCAACAAAGGAAGATCACGTGAAGCGTTCAGTTATACACGCAAAACGCAGTGTTACTGCAGGTGACAACATGAAATCTATAATCGTGATTGTGTGTTCCTTATTATATAAGCTTACATAAGTTGCTTGCAGTAATGGCTGGTGTCAAATGAATTTCTAAATGATGTGTTTCAAAGCACAGAGGACAAATGTTTATCCACAGCGGTCCTCATCCTGTCCTCATCCTGCCATTAAAATCTGCATGACTCACGCTGTAGATTTCATTGGGAGCTCAAATGAATCCCGCGGTGTCATTACGTAGTATTTGAAGCACAAAAATGGCATTAATGAAGATATTTCACAATCTCAGTTGTATAAGTGTTGGTTTAGCCTCACAGGCAGATCACCTGGGCTGTGTGTTGCTGTGAATCCTTGCAACCCATATGCGTCACAGAATGCATATCAATGCTTGTTTAAACAAAAGCTCATCAATTACATTAAATGTGTTTGCAAACCTATGATAGGGAACCCACAGCTGCTGCCACCGCCCTTTTATTATGTAGTGCATAATATCTTCGGCTTAGAGCAGATCAGCATCCTTCAGAGGACTGAATTTAGAGCTTGTTTTCTTATAGGTGTTTTTAAGAGGCTAAATGGAAAAGTAAACGGAAAGGATGTACCACTAAGAAAATAGGTACTACGGCTCCTCTTTTAAATATGCAAACTGTTTCAGTCTAGAGTTAATGTGATATATTCTCTGATCCCTATGTTGCAAAATGTGGTGGCCCTTTTTTCCGTAGTGGCTGATAGCCACAAAGATGTGTCTGACAGGCTTTTGATTTGTATTTCTGTACTGTTCTCCTGTACGTATGCATGTTGCCAGTCTATGATGCTCTAGTCAGGTTTGGTCTCTCCCTTTTTTATGTAGCTGAGAAATAAATACATGTGTATTCAATGCAATTAAAAGCAGATTTCTTTAGCATGATTATTATTGAAACTGCTGTGCCGTTACAAAAAAAATCAGATAAGGTAAAGCAAGACAAAGCCTGTCCTTTCCTTCTCTGTGGCTCAAACTCTCGGTCAGCTTCCCCACCCAGAGAGGCTAATAAATGTTTAAATGCTGCAGGCGTAGCAATCAAACTGCTTAAGGTGCAATACGTTTTATTGATTAAGACATACAAATTTCTAAGACAGAGTTTTACCTCTGTCTGCATTTCCTCTGAGCACCTGCTGATGGTAAAGACTTGACATGCATCAACAAAACATCAGACTTTTGTGATTAGATGGGCATTCCTTCCAAGTATTTCTAACTGAACTGAAAATGCACGGTAACAAAAGCTTGAAAAGCACCTCACATGTAATGTAGCTATTCTAGCACACAGCATATAGCTTTATATTGATCCAAGACTCACGAAAAATATAGTATTACTGCAGTTTCATGTTGGCTTGCCAAAAGCAAGATATATTTAAGATAAAGCAGTATCTCCAAGGCTGATTATCTCCTTCTCAGCAAACTGTTTTTGCAGTCATGGTCCTACAGGTCTAGTTATGTTGTTTTGTTCTAGGGCAGTAGTCTGCATCTCATAAGTACGTGTAGGTTTTTGACTAAAAATCCCAGAAAGCCACAGAAAGTGCATTTTCTAGCTGCATGAAAACATCCTGTAGGCTTTTTTTCCATTAATGGTAATACAAGTTACATGTAGGGAAACGTTCTGGGAAACACATTATGGTCTAGAAGTACAGGTAAGCATGAGAGGTAGCGTTGCTCTCAGCATCTTACAGTGTTGCTGGGTCTCTATGCGCCATCATTTTCATTCCATATTAAGCTGGAGGCTAAACTTCCTTTCCTTTCTGTGGGAGTAATGATGCTAATCCCAAGGAGCAGTTTTTGTAGGCTGCATTCTACCCTTGCCCCCCTCTGCTCCTCTACCCCAGGCAGACACTGCCACAGCTGTATAAATGAAGTGGTCCTCCCAGATGCTTCTGAGACAGAAATGGTTTATCTGAGCAGCACTTCCAGCTGGAAGCCACTGGTCTCTGACATGTACCTTGTTGGTTTGATCTCTGCACATGCACCTATGTTGTTTTTTTTTTTAACTAGATGTGTTCTTGAAATCCTGTTTCTTTGTCAGCTGAGGGCATGGCTTAGATCCTTGTGATCTATGAAAATGGGATGAAAATAATGTTTATTTTCATTAAAAAGGCACATACTTGAAAATTTGATCACAGCATATGTCCAATCACCACCAATATCAATAAGATCAACAGTGTATTCTTTCATTTCCTAATTATCTTGAAAGCTCACTGCAGGGTATAGGTAATCTCTTTCTTGCACAGATATGAACATGCCAGATACTATTTGGCATCTTGCTTTTTAATTCTCATTCAATGAAGTAAACACTTTGGATTATGGAAGATCTCATAGCAAA